TTGCCACACGCAATCCATGAACTGAACGAAGATGGGGCTACGATCCGCATCCGTGTGTCTGTCTTCACCGTATCCTAGCCTCTAAAAATCCAGAAAACACGTTTTTCACTCCACAATAGGAAAAAAAAGTATTAAAGAAGAGTGAACTTTTTTTCAATCCATCAATTGATTTTCCACGAGAACTAATTTTCTCGATTGCATGTGCGTCGCCGGAATTTCCAATCCTTCTGCGAAGTCGTGTTTCGGATAGGATAGGCTACATAGGCTTAGACAAAGTCAGGGACCTTTAGCTAGGAAAATTATTAAAGTTATGTTAGATCGGTCAATTCAATGTTACAGTATTGAATAAAAAACGATTCAAGAGACACCTATCTGAAATCCGAGGAGGTACGGTCGAGATGTAAAAAAAATCTTCGAATCAGAATTTCACATGACGAAGACAAACCTGTTCGAATTTGTGCCCAAAACTCAGCCACTCCTTCTCAACCAACACCTGAAACCCACGAATGGTTCGGTAATAAGGGTCCAGCATCAACATGGCCAGAGCGGTCAACTGTGCGGTTCTGTCCCATCCTAGATTCACAAATGCAATCTCAAAACAAGAAGAAACCTACGAATCTCTTGAGATTTGTACCTTCAGAGCAATGAACAACGACGGAGGTTCTTTGGTTCTCCACCTTATCGGCGATTCGCACGGCACCGGCGAGAATTGATCTAACGTGATCCAACCAAGATGTCGCTGCAAGCCCAGACAACCACCTCGACTCGTCAACCAACGGAAAAACGAGCTCCTTCAATTTTCTCAACGACTCTCGCATCATGTGTATGTTATGTATGTCAAGAAAGACCAGCTCCGCAAACGGATACGCGTCATCACTCTCGTATCCACCGCCACGAGCTTTGTTTGCCACAGCATTCACGCTGCAAAAATTTTGACGAAATATACTTCAGAATGCTGTAACACCATTCAATGTGGAAGATATTGAAGTTCTTGGGATTCCATAAAAATTGATATAACATATAAGAGACCTTCTAGCATTTATGACGAATATACGACATGTTTGACAAGGTAAAAATGACTGTCTGACCAACCTTCTTACTCACTATAAAATCACATGCTGTACTGCATTATCTTGATCACCTAGGTTCTAGATTACGATATTCGACAATTTCAACCCCCTCACTTCAACAATTGAATTTTATTTTTCTGAAAAGCCTAGCAAAATTCACACATTTCGATTCATATGAAGCAAGCAATATTTAATGTAATTTAATAAGAAAAAATATTCTCTTGCAGGGTAAAAAAAAGCAAGTTTACAAAATAACAATTTGAATGAACGGTAACAAGTACTGTACAATACAATAAAACAAGACGTCTTCGAAGAGTGTTCCCAAAGGAGCAGCAACATAAAAGAATGAGGAAATCTCTTCTGAGCTACAGCTTCGAAGAGCAACCATCAATAACCTAATCCAAATATGTTTCTCATTTTTTAAAATAATTTAAACCCTCTATCAGAATTTCGGCGAAATTACGGTAATTGGTTATCTTCTTCAAGACCGCACACTCTTTCCACCAAGTCTTTTAGAAGAACTTTGACAAAAAAAATTTTCTTATTGCATACCTGGGTCTGGCGTCCATAATAAAAATTTTATGTGACTGAGCATTCGCATCCATGATCATTTGCAGATATTTTTCATCAGCTCGGCTCCTTTTCGCACTAACGCCTACCATCGGTTGGGAACATCGCGTGATTGAGGCCTGTGTTTCCGGATGAAGCCAAGACAAAACCGGAAGACGTTCTCTCGAACGAAACGCTGCTGATGCGATCAAATCCTCTTCCGATGCACATCTACAAGGAAAATTAGAATAGACGATAAAACTGCCAACAACAAAATAAATAAATACTCGCCTCGGAACTCCCCAGATATTTGGGTAAGTGTCGCAAATCTCGTACTTTGCGTTAACTTTGGTGATGACCCAAGAATCTGTTGGCAAACCGAGTCTCGTGAGTTCCAGCACAGGGTCATAAATCGTCCATCCATTTTCTTTAAAGGTGTCGCGGTAATCAAAAGCAAAATAATTGATTTTTTGCGTCGCAGGAAAAGCATAGTACTGAATGTGTTCAAACACTGTTCGTCTCGAGGCAGTGTCCTGCAAATAAAACATATTTACCAATGAGATGCATCCAAATTTTCAGAGATCATGCACTGCAAAGTAAAAGTTACACGCGCACAAAATTTACTTCACTTACCTGGAAATTCATCACTACCCACATTCTCGAGCTGCGAAGAAATTGTGATACCCATGATTGAATTTTCCAATTTGTTTCCATTGAAATTGATGGTATCACTTGAGCTCTTGAGCAACGTTACGGTGGGACACAAGGGTTCAAACGGTTTTGCGGGAATTAGAAACAGTATTGCGAATCGATTTTTTTTCGTACAGATTTCCTGCTTCGTGCAGGATATTTTCAACATTTTACACAGCATACTCAAATCATCACTAATTATGACGCGCTTCCGGATCCGCCGACAAAAAATTGGAAGAAATCTGTAAATGCTGACTAATCCACCACACAGTAAGTTTGGGACAGCCTGAAAAAATCCTCCTTCACTTGATATTGACAAATTGGATTTAGTTCCCCGTCTTATCACTTTTTTCTCTCTGTTAATAAGAAAAGGATAATACTCACTTGCAGGTATACAAAACGGACGTGCCGAAGATCAGAAAGATGCACGTCCACTCCAAATACGTGTTCAACTTTGTTCCCCAGTTTCCCCAACTTCTGAACCCATGTCACTAGTCCAAGTGGTACGTCAAGAGTCAATGGTGCATCTCGTTCCAACCCGCGGAAGAAGAACCTGAGAAGAAGAGTACAGAAAAAGTCAGTGATTTCAAAGTACCGTAAATTACATAATACATTACAGAATGTTCATATTTTCAATTAATTAATTTTTTCTTTCATCCGAAAGGAAAGAAAATCAAGGGAAAAGAGGCAGACGTCCCATTACTTTGCCTTCTGAGTTTGAGGCAGACGATTAAAAAAATGAATAAAGTTTTACAAAACTTCAAGGTATTGTAATGAGAAGAAAATGACAGGCAGGAACCAGGGCTTGCATGTTTTTAAAGAAAAATAAAATTGAAAATGAACCTTTGCCTTTGAAAAGACAGTTACATGTTTGGGGTTTTTCATTCATGGTGAAAAAA